TTAGTGAAAAATAAAGAGAGAATTTCAAATGTCTCATATCTTTTAGTAATGTAATGGGTACCCTTAGTCATGGCAGTACTTGACACATCTGATAATGAAGATTGATAAGAAACATCCAAACAAGACGGGGTCATAAAGCTTTCCCAGGGGGATAAAAAGGTATCTGAGATAATATTAAAAGAGAAAGTATTCAAGTGAATCAGGAAGGCAAGGTGATTGAGGTCCTTCCAGGCAAAATAAATAACATTAGGAAAACCACACAGGTGTAAATCTGCATTCACTGAAGAGAGTATTAGTAGCCAGTTTTGTCCATAAGTGACTGAGCAAAATAGGGAGGGATAAATAAAGAGGAATTAAATCGGAAGAAGTCATATAGAATATTTGGGATTAAACAACAATGTCTGGCCTACATCCTGAAAGCCCTATAGAGCCACTGAACATTTTTAATAAGGAAACTGTGGGATCCAACTTGCATTTTTGACAAAAAAATCATGGAAGATAGTTAATTTAAAGTTATTTAGAATGGAAACTGGAAAAACAGAATAGAAGCTACTGAAATAAATCATCATAACATTTTGCTTCTATGAAAGTGAGGCCAGTAGAGATAGGGAATCAGAATGGAAAATAGGGAACATGATACAGTGGGAGCTGAGAGGGAAAGAGATGCTTACGTCCCACAGAAAGATATGAAAGACTGCACACTGGGGGTCACAGGGCACGATCTAAAGACAGAAGGGTCTACAGTGGTAGCATCACATGTCCGGCAACACAGAGTGAAGGAAAGTTGTAAAAGGAAAAGTGCAGAGCAGAAAAAATGTAAATGTTCAGGACCAGGAGACAGTGGCCAGCCTTATCTTCCAGAGGTAACTACTGTGTGTATGTACCATTAATTTAGTTCACTTAATCACCATAAAAATGTCTTTTCTCAAATACTTAGTTTTGTTTCATGTTCTAAGAGCCCTAATCAGGCTTCATCAACAATGGGACTATCCAATTTTGTGTGGAAACCCTTAACTGTATGATCTGTGGCTTTAAAAGAAAGATGTAAGCACCTTGCAATGATGTGACCTTCCTGGACGAAATGATTGTCCTGTGGGCTTTAACACGCTGTTTTTGATGGTGGACTTCAACAAGTTCTTTTTGACTAAGTAACTCTCATAAATCCAAAACATTGATTGACATACCTGCCACTTTCCCTCCTCTCATTTTTCCCTATGGGGCCTTTTTGGGAAGACACCCCACCCATGTTCTCTGCTTGCCTCTTGTTTTCTTGTGTGTAGAAAAGCTGTAGTCTCCAGGACCTCCCCTGATGGGGATTTGCAGGTATCAACTATTATACATAAAACAGATAAACAACTAGGTCCTACTGTGTAGCACAGGGAACTATATTTAATATCTTGTAATAATCTATAATTAAAATAATAGGAAAAGGAGGAGATATATATATATATATATATATACATATATATATATATATCTTAATCACTATGCTGCACTTTAACATAACACTGCAAACTGACTATACTTCAATAAAAACAAACAAAAACCAAAAAATGAATTAATGATTGAAAGAATATGAACACATAGTGACCCAAAAAAGTGACATTTAGACCAGGAAAATTGGTGACAATTTAGTAAATCAGCATTACAGTGGTCACAGAGTCTTTAGTTTCTCCCTGAAGCACTTAGCTAACACTGTCTGATGCACACTCCTGAGTTGTTTTACAGATGCTAAAACCCCCTCCAAGAGGAAGAAGTTAACTGCCTGATGACCAGAAGCACGTAGCCCCCCACACCAGCTGGAGCCTGAGGACAGATGATATTTACCCCTTGGACACTACCCTGTTACCTCACCATCAAGCAATCAGAGAACTGTCAGAGGATAATCACACACTTGGCAGCCCCTTGCTCACACCGACTTTAAAATTCTTCCCTAAAACCCATTGGAGAGTTCAGATTTTTTTGAGAACTAGCTTCCTACACTCTTTGTTTGGTACCTGCAATAAATGCTGCACTTTCCTTCACCACCACTCAGTGTCAGTAGATTGTCTTTACTGCACACAAGGGCCAGCGGACCCAAGTGTGTTTCAGTAACATTAGCTTTTGAGAAATAGAGACCATCGTCACCCTCAGCAGCATCACCATCATCATCCTCATCATCGTCATCATCATCACCTTCATTATCACCCTCATCATCATCATCCCTTCATAGTTTTGAGATCAGATTTATAGTAAATCAAAACCGTATCATGTTAGAAAATATTCTATCTTCTCTGGAGACATTGTGAAGACAAGATGAGACACTGACATAGTGAAAAGTTCCATGAAGGCAGAAAATTTTAAGTGCTAAACATAGCCCAGTCACTTACCAGTTAAACCATGGGAAATTGCCAAGGTGAAAAACAAAAGTCAAAAACAGCAGTTCCATTTTATTCTATGTATGCATAACTTCTTGAACGCAGTTTCTTAATTTTTAAAGTCAGGTAAATAATTCCTTTGTTGTAGAGAATTAAGTTAAGGCAATATTTGCATAATGCTTGGAATACCTAAAAGACTAAATAAATAATAGCTATTTTATTAATTTCGGTATATCTCTGTACTCATTTCATTGTGCTTTACAAGCTGCCACTTAATCCCTCTAGGATTAATTTAAATGCAAATGTTGCATTCAGATCTTAGCAGTTGCATATTGGGGGAAAAAAAGGTTAAGACTTTGAAATAATGATAAATACTCTGTTAACTTTAATTGTTATTTTCTAAGAAGCATGCAAGAGACTGTGACAAGAACATCACCACAGGCAAAGGTCTATTAGCCAACTAGACCAATAAAAATTATACCTCTTGTCAAAATCGGAAGGGCCAGTAATCATTAACAAGCCTTGTAAAGAATTACAGTATTAATTTGAAAGTTTATTTTCATTCACTTGTGAACCTTGGGCTAATTCCAGAAGTCACGTGAAGGAAATGGAAATGCCGCCTGTCTAATTTCCCTGACTGCTTCATGCATAACAAGAACAGGGTTGACTCTCCAGTCAAGAAATCAATTATTAAGCAGGGCAGACATTATTTTAATGCAGAAGAAATGTGTTTCTAAAAGTTTGTACTGTTGTTGTTAAATGGATTCTTTCCTTCTCAACAATTTCTGCAGCCACAAACCCACCCTCTCTCTTTCTTTCTGTAGCAAGATTTCTACTTAGGTAGGAAGGATTTAAAGTAAACATGACAAGGGGGAGGGTAAAGCTCGGTGGTGGAGTGTGTGTTTAGCAAGCATAGGGTCCTGAGTTCAATCCCCAGCACCTCCATTAAAAATCAATCAATCAATCTAATTGTCCTCCCCCCAAAAATCCAAAAAAAACCCCAAAAACTAAAAAAAAAAAAAAAAAGAAAAAGTACACAACAAAATAACTAGCATTTCTATACATGCTTTTTTCATTACATTAGACTATATATGTTCACTTTAAATTTAACTATTTATCTCAGATAACTAATCTGGGGAAAAAACTATAAACTAAAAATAGACAGATACAAAAACCTTAAACATCATTGTCTAGTGGATAAAACTAAGTCACTTATAGAGTGTAACTATCATCCCCTGTATAATACTAAACAAAGAGGTAAACATTGAGAAATAAGTTTGCAAATCTCTTATCTTTTACAATGTTTTATGGAAGGCAAAATTAGAGAGGAATTGTAAAGATTAACCTTAATGGAATCTACTGATATTGTCCCAACATCACATGATGAAGGTGGACTTACTATTGTTGGCCTCAGTCTTGAGAAAAACCTTCTTCCTGAAGAGTAGTCCTCTGACTTGAGCCAGGAAGCTTGACTTTAACCTTCAAAGCTACATTTTCTTACCATTATCTCCCTTCCTCTATTTCAAGTCCTCTGGGGAAGGAACGACACTTAATGGGCCGAGTAATTTTTCCCTCTTTGATCTTTCTTTTTTTCTTAATGTTTTATTTATTATTGTACTATTTTTAATTATTTTACTTTGGCAGGTGGGAGGGGGAAGATAATTAGGTTTATTTATCTTTGGAGGAGGCACTGGGGATTGAACCCAGGACCTCATGCATGCTAAGCATGCGCTCTACCACTTGAGCGACACCTCCCCACCTTAATCTTTCTTTACTACACTTTTTTTCCCTTCTTGTTTCAGCTTTTGTCTCATCATTATCTTAAGTCTTTAATGATATAATTACTGAGTAACAGACTGAGAAGACACTTGAGAGGGCAAAGTCTTGTTTTCATGCCATCTGGATTTCTATTATATGAGTGACTCACTCTCTAAATAAATCTCTATACACTATGTGTTCTAAAGTATAGAATACCCTCAGTAACATATCACTGGGATAAGACCATTTGATGCTTAAATGATGTACCACGTGGATATTATGAATATCAAAAATTTTTTGAAAGGTAACTATGCACTAACATTACTCTGTATGATGTTCAGCTATAAATGGGGGCCCTTTGAAACCCCATTTACTGTTGAAGAAACTAAGAAATGCAAAGAATTCAATTTGCCTATTATCATATAGTCAACCAGTGTCAAGATTTGATTCCAAGCAGTCAGTCTCCAAAGCCGTGCTCTGAATCTTCACTCATTATCCTTTGTTTTATCATGTGGGACGTGCATCACCCATGTGCCTCTCTCTATTACATTGACAGCAGATAAAGTATTAACATAGTCCACAAATTGTATCTCACTCAAAGAGAAGTGATCAATATGGTCTTCTAGATACTTACCTTTATATATCTGAAATTTGTATCTGTGTATACACACCATGATAAAAAAAAACTTAAGGGCTATTTTTTAACATGGTTGCATATCTCATAAGAAAATGTATGTCTAATCTGTATTTTTCGGTTATGACACATTATGGAAAGAAATACATTTTAGAACAGAATAAACATGGCAACATGCCTTTGGTTTTTCATTTTCTTTTTTTTTTTTTTTTGGAGGGGGAAGGTAATTAGGTTTATTTGTTTATTTCTAGAGAAGGTACTGGGGATTGAACCCAGGACCTCAACCATGGTAAACATGTGCTCTACCACTGAGCTATACCCTCCCCCAACATGCCTTTGGTTTTACAGAAAGTAACATGCAAAATAATTTTCTTCAAAAACATGGCTTTAACAGTCTTTTAAAAATGATCAGTTTAAATTTAAAAAGGATAAACTAAAGTTTCCAATACTCAGATTGTGAATTCATCTTTACCACACGATTTTATTGCTCTTTGACTGGGACTGCTAATGTCCACCGTAAGGTGGAGAGGTGTTAATGTCTCCACAATCCCCGAAAACTCTTAGTCTGCCTATGAAGAACATTAATCTCTTGCCAATCCATTTTATCTTAGTACAAAGTTTTTACAATCTTATTTTCAAAATAATACATTACTGCAATACCGCATGAGTTCTCAGAATCACTGTTTTTGGTGTTAACAGCCCTGAATACAAGTTTACACATCATTGGTTTCTTTGGGGGTTGGCAGGAGCTCACCATGTTTCTTGTAAGGGAAGGATTTCATTTTGGCACAGGTCCACAGAGAAGAAAACACACTCTGCTTGCTATTTTCAGTAATACCACAGAATAGAATTAGCCCTCATAATATAATATAAAATAGAAATTATATGTGATAGAAAATATATATGAATTAATATTATACTTACCCTAATTGTTTTGCTTGGTGTATATTAAGCATCTTTAAAGGACTATCTCAATATAGAAATGAAAGCATGAAGCATGAGAAAGTATCATCTCTCCTTCTTCCTTCTATTTTTTTTTAACTTACTTATACTTTGTGATACTTGGACTCTTAGGAAAGAAAGAAGTGATTAAATCCCCTGTGCTGGTGTTAGTGTTACCGATCAAAGAAAAGGAAATGAGTGCATTATCTTTCTTCACTTAGGGAAAAAAGTCATAAAATGAAATTTGAAGTAAAAGTAATGAAAAACCCTCCTGTCTCTTTATTCTGGCCTACGATTAAAATTCTTTTTGTGCTTGCTAAATGAAACATACCTTGCAAGCAAAGCAGGAAGAACAGTGGCATCCGAGTGTGGCAGATTTTGAGTTTGAAGACTGCTGTCACTCCCCAGGCTTACCTGTGGGCTTTAATCTGCTGTCAGGGGGCAGCCCTCTGGCTGGGAGCACAGATAAGAAT